AGTTTCATTTTTAATGGATATTGTATTTTGTGAAAAGTTTTTTTTTTCATCTGCTAGTATAATTTGGGGCATCTTAATCTATTTTGTGCTGCTAAAACAGAATACCATAGACTGGCTAATTTATAAAGAACAGAGATTTATTTCTTACAGTTCTGGAGGCTGGGAAGTCCAAGATCATGTGGCCACATCTCTTGAGGGCCTTCTGGCTTCATCATCCCATGGTAGAAGGTAAAAGGGCAAGAGAGTGTACTTAGGTGTGTGCCTGTGCACACGAGTGATGGGGCGAAACTTATCCTTTTATCAGGAACTGTTTTCTGAGTTAACTAAACCATTCCATCAATAATGCCATTAATTCATTCATGAGGGCAGAAGCCTCTATTCATGAAGGTACAGCCCTCATGACCTAATCACCTCTTAAAGGTCCTACCTCTTAATGCTGTTGCATTGGAGGTTAAGTTCCAACACATGAACTTTGGAGGATGCATTCAAACCATACCATGGAGTTTTACATCTTTAGAATGGATTGCTTTGATTCATTTTCATACGTTGAACCAGACTTGTGTTCCTGAGATAAACCATGCTTTCTTGTGGTATATGAATTACTTATTTTATATATGGCCAAATTTCACTTGTATTTTATAGGATTCTTATGTTTATGTTCATGAGGGATATTGATTTGTGCTTTTCTTTTTTTGTATCATTTATTTTTCTGGTTTTTATGTCAGGGTAATGCTGGCCTCACAAAATAAGGTGATATGTAATTTCCTGTCTTCTAGTTTCATGGAGAGATTGTATAGAATTGATGCTATTTCTTCTTTAAATGTATGGTAAAATTTGCTAGTGAAACCATCTAGACCTGAGTATTTTGGGGGAAGATCTTTAATTACAAATTCAATTTCAGTAATATTTATAGAAGGATTTAGATTATTTGTTACATTTTGGATACGTTTTGGCAGTTTGTGCTTTTTGAGGAATTTGTTTCATCTGTGTTGTCAAATTTATGTGTTTAGAATTGCTATTATATACTCTTGTCATTGTAATACCTATGAAATTTCTATCTTTCGTTCCTGAGTTTTTATTTCATCTATTATATTTTTAGTTCAAAATATCCATTTGATTCTTACTTATATTTTGTTTCTTCACTGAGTGCTTCTGTTTTAAATATTTGTTCCAAGATTGCTTGTTATTGTTTATTCAAGCTTTTTTATAATAGCTAATTTAAGATAATTTAATGTCTTTTCTCATCATTCATGTCTGTTGTCTTTTTCCATATGAATTGACATTTTTATGGTTATTTGCATACTGATTGATTGTAGTTTGTATCCTGGACATTGTGAGTATTGTTTTGAGATTCTGTTTATATCCTTGTTTATATCCTATGGAGAAGGTCTATATTTTTGTTTTAGCCTTTTGTGTGTTTTGGTTCCAACATCAATTCAGTTTTCAAGCCTTTTGTAGCACTATTTAGGTCTGTCCTGCATGTGTACCATCTAGTGGTCAGTCTGAGACTTTGAGGGAGGTCTGCTTTCTAGTTGAGTTTCCAAATCTTTGGTATGCACATGAAGATCAAAGTAGTCACAAGTCAGAGGTAAGCCCAGGGGTTCAAATCAATTATACACTGTTGCTTTTTCAAAACTCTTCCCCCTCCTTTATCTTTTCAGTACTTTTCAGTTCTCTGGGCTCTCATTTTCTGTATCCTCTTCAAAAACTAGCCACTGTCATGGTTGTAGCATTTCCAGAAACAAGTAGCAGGAGGAGAGAGCAAGAACGAGAAAGAGAAAGAGAAGTAAAGAGAGAGACAGAGGAAAAACTAGAATAAAGGTGTCATCCTGGGCCACTATTGCTTCTGAGCCACATTTGCTTTTACTACGTCCACTGTAGGACCAAAGAAGTAGTAAATAAAAACCCAAGGGATTTCCCCGACTCTCTCTGAATTTGAGTTCTCTTTACACTCCTTGAGCCAAAACTCCAAGATTTCTGCATCTCTGTCTGCTAAACAGTGCTCATTTTGGATTACACACCATGTTGAATTCAGGCTCATAATACAGAACAGGAGAAAAGTAATGTTGAATTTGCAGTTGTTTAGTTGGTACTTCAAACTCTGGTGTCTTCTCTGATACCAGATTTACCTTTCCATTTTCATATAGATGTCCATGCATTCTATCAGAGTTTTATATTTGAGTTAGTGAGAGATAAAAGGTCTGAGAATTGAATCCAACTATATATGTTTTGTAAACAGCATGTAGTTGGATCCTAGTTTTAAATCTAATCTAACCACCTTGGTCTGTAATTGGAATGTTTAGTCAATTCACATTTAAAGTGATTGTCAATATAGTTAGAATAAAATCTACCATCTTTCTGTTTTCTTTTCTTTATATGTGCTCTTGATGGTTTCCATTTATTGTATTTGGCTTTTGTTTCCTTTTCCCCTCTTTTTTCTGCCTTTTGTTATTTTATTTGATCATTTTGTATGATCCCATTTTGTCTCATGTATTTATTATTTAGATAGCTTTTAAATAAACTTTTTAGTGGTCTTCATAAAGTTTGCAATGTACATTTTTATATAATTTGTTTTACCTTCAAATAACACTACTGCTTCATGTGTGGTACAAGGCTATCCCAAATTCCTTCCTTCCATTCTTTGTGTCATTGTTGTATTCCATTATTTTTTTTTACAAATGCTATAAACATATAATGCATTGCTACTATTATTGCTTTAAATAATCAGTTATATTTTAGAACAATTAAGAATATGATAAGTAAAGTTATATTTTTCTTCATTTATTCCTTTTGCAACACTCTTCCTTTAATTATGTACACCCAGTTTTCAGACCTGTATCATATCCCTCTGTCTGAAGAATTTCCTTTAATGTTTTTTGTAAGGCAGTCTACTCATGTTGAGTTTCCTCAGTTTTTGTTTGTCTGAAAAAGTATTTTGTCTTAATTTTTGAAGGATATTTTTGCAGGAGTTGGAATTCGGGGTTGGCATTTTCTTCTTTGAACACTTTAAAGGTTTCATTCCACTGTCTTTTTGCTTATGTGGTTTCTGACAAGAAGTCTCGTATAATTCTTCTCTTTGTTCCTGTGTAGGTAAGATGTTCCCCACCTACCACCTTCTTCCTGGCTGTCTTCAAGATTTTATTTTCGTCTTGATTTTCTGCAATTTGAATTTGATATGTCTGGGTGTGGTTTTTGGTTTGGTTTTGGTATTTACCCTGGCTGGTGTTCTCTGAGCTTCTTGAATCTGTGGTTTGGTGTCAGTCATTAAATTGGAAAATTTTGGCCATTATGTCTTCAAATATTTCTTCTGCCTTATTCTTTCGTCCCCTTCTTGTGTTCTAAATACATATGTTATACCGTTTAATATTGTTCCATAGTTCTTGGATGTTTTGTGTGACCTATCTCCAAGTTCACTGATTCCTCAGCTGTGCAGAGTCTACTGATGAGCACATCAAAGACAGTCTTCAGATCTGTTACTGTGTTTTTTTCTCTCCCATTTATATATGACTTTTTCTTATACTTTTCACACCCCTGCCAAAATTACCTATCTGATCTTGCGATAAACTTTTTCAATAGAGCCTTTCACATACTGATAATAGCTATTTTAAGTTTCCTAGCTGATAAAGATGAAAACAATAGACAAAAGAGACTCCAAAAGAGAGAACAGAGGGAGGGAGCAAGAGTTGAAAAACTAAGTATTAGGTCCTATAATCACTATTTGGGTGATGGGTTCACTAGAAGCCCAAACCCCACCATGACACAATACCTACACATATAACACGTAACAAACATGTAACATGTAACTACACATGTAACAAACATACACATATACCCACTGAATCTATAATGTAAAAAAAGAAAGTAAAATAATCCAAATCAATAAACAAATTCCTTGTCTGATATTCCCAATATCTGTGTCATAACTGATTCTGGTCCTAATGATTGTTTTTCTCTTTAGATGTTGTTTTTATTCCTTGCCTTGATTCTTATTGTGCTGCACCCTGGAGATAGTATATCTCTTATAAATGTATTCCACTGTTATTTTTACCGATGCTTTTTAGCCTGGTAGTGGGGGAATGGGGACCAGGGACGTTCTCTGCTATTCTGATTGAGTCTCAGTCTGAGGCAGGCTTACCCTGAGTGTTGGAGGTATAACCTTCACAAGTGTTCCTGCCCTTCCTCCTATGTTCTAACCTAGGTGGGCTTAGCACATTTTCCTGCCCCTCCCGGGTTAGAACATATTTTTTTCAATTTTCTCCCCCAGATGTAGTGAGTTTTCACCAGTGCCCTCAGTTTCTGTTGCTCTTTTTTCTGAAGACTAAGACTTTTTTCCCTTAGGGAAGATAAGGTAGATTGGTATGGGCAGAGTTTCAGTGATGTTGGCCATTCTTCTCTGCCAGCTGCAGTGAGTTTCTCCCAGTACTTTCAAACTATAGTTTTTGTTTCTTTTTCCTGAATAGTAAGGCTTTTGCTCCATAGAGAATGTAGGAAAAATAGTCTGTGCAGAATTTCAGCAACGGCTATTGTACTGTTCTCTCCAAGCCAGAACTACAGGATATCTTTCTCAGGATTCTCCTCAGTCTTTCTTGTCAGCACCTGGGGGAGTTCCTGGAGGAAAACTCTGCAAAGGGATGCAGAACTGCTTATGCAGCCCATACAGGCTTCACATTCTCACGAGCCCATAACCAGCCTTTAGCAATTCATTAATAATTTTTAGCCGAATCTTCTTATGAGTTTGTATGTTGTTCAGTGGTATCTACACCTGGTAAAGAAATGCCTGGTCCTGCAGCTCCCTTGAAGATGCTTGTTTCTACAGATTTGGGGTACTGCAGCCTCAGTTTTCTGATAAGTCCAAGAAAAGTTCTTAATTTTTACTTTCCCAGCTTTTTCTCATACTGTAATGGTGGGAGAAATGTTCTTTACAACTCTACATTTCTGACCTAATACCGGAAGAGCATATGAATCTGAGGATAAGCTTTCGAGGTCTGTTTGTCTTTCAGCATCCATACCGCAGTTTACCAATTCCCCCACGATGGTGATCATGGTGGGTTTACCAGCTCGAGGCAAGACCTATATCTCCACGAAGCTCACACGATATCTCAACTGGATAGGAACACCAACTAAAGGTAGGTCTCTGAAAGCCTTTGTTCAACAACCCTATAAAAGCCACTGACTGAAAACCTTACTTAGGTAGAAGACCAAAGTCCTCAATACCAGAAATGCCCCATCATTATTATTACCAGCATCAGGATTACTGCTGTCACTATGACTACATTCTTATACATTTTATGACTTCTGGAGCACATACTTTGTGCCCAACACCATGCTAGGTGCTAGCCATAGGAAAACTAGTATTCAGATTAAATGTCTTCTCTCAAGAAGTTCCATGACCTCAAAACAATCCTGTGACTAACATACTATTTTTATTGCCATTACTATTATTGCCATACCAATATTACAACTTTTATTAGCATTACCACTTCTTCACCATTTCATAGTTGAGGAAATTAAGACCCAAGAGGGGAAGTGCCTTGTCTAAAGGCATATGGCCAGTAAGTGGGAGAACCAGGATATCAACCCAGGTCTATTTGATTCTAAGCCTGATATTCACTGTGCCAAGTCTAATGCACGGTTCTACTGATTGGAAGAGAAAAGAATCCCACATTAGCCCTATAGTCACCTTTTCTCCATTCTTTTTCTCTCCTTCTTTTTCTTGTTAATCTCAACATCCTGTCTCTCTGCCCCGCTTCCCTCTATCTCTCCCCATCTACCTTCCTTTCCCCAATTTTTGATTCTTTTTCCCTTTTTTTCTTTCCATTCATCTATGTTCTCTTTATCTAATTCACTGGTGAAGAGTTTCCCAATGGTTTTTCATTTGTCCAAACCCCTGCTAGGCAATGAGGATACAAAAATGGATGAGACTCACACCCTGTCCTTGAGGAGTTCTGAGTCTAGCTGGGATGTATAGGAATACCTCACATTATCTAGGAATTATAGAGCAGGAACAGGGTGTTGCATGAAATCACATAGGGATTTGCTGGCTGGAAAGCAAGGAAAGCTTCCTACATAGGACATGTTGGAGCTGAGTCTTGTGGGAGGAATGTGACATTGGCAGAAGGGAAGGAGAGAAGGAACAGCTCTCATGGAGGACTGCAAGCTCTAAGGAAAATCTGCTGAGTGTAGAGACACATGGGACACTGGCAGATGAGTTTCTTTCCTGATTCCCCTGCTTTCTTTCTTCTTCACTACACTCGGTTCTCTCAAAGACCTCCAGAGTCACATTTCAAAGCACAAAGCTGAACATGCCTGTGGCCTCCAAAGGTCCCCTTAGCCTGCAGGTTTAAATCCAAGCTCCTTAGCCTGTTTTTCAAGGTCCTCTACAATTGGCTCCTTCCAGCGTCTCAGGCCTCAGCTATAGTGAATGACTCACCATCTTCCAAACATGCTCTGCCTCTGCCAATGCCATACTCCTGCTCAAGCTGTTCTTCTCCCTGGAATGCCTTGGTTCCCAATTCCCACTGCACATACCTGCCTGTAAAAGGCACCTATCCTAAAAAGCCTGATTCAGATGGTGAAATCTTCTCAGATCATTCCAAGTACAATTAGTTTTTCCTTCCCTCTCACTCTCTTATGTGGCTTCATATTGTCTTTGTCAGAGCATTTAATGAACTCTGTGGGAGCTCTCTGTTTACTGGTTTACTCGCTGTCTTACCTGTTGGACTGTGAGTTCCTTGAGGTCCCCCTAATGAAGATCAGGCTAATCTATGAGACCCAGAGCTCATATCCTGCTTCACAGAGTAGGAATGAAAAAGTATTTGTTGGCCGGGCGCGGTGGCTCAAGCCTGTAATCCCAGCACTTTGGGAGGCCGAGGCGGGTGGATCACGAGGTCAAGAGATCGAGACCATCCTGGTCAACATGGTGAAACCCCGTCTCTACTAAAAATACAAAAAATTGGCTGGGCATGGTGGCGCGTGCCTGTAATCCCAGCGACTCAGGAGGCTAGGGCAGGAGAATTGCCTGAACCCAGGAGGCAGAGGTTGCGGTGAGCCGAGATCGGGCCATTGCACTCCAGCCTGGGTAACAAGAGTGAAACTCTGTCTCAAAAAAAAAAAAAGAAAAAGTATTTGTTAAATGAATGAATGAAATATTATTTGCCTGCTTATCCTCTTTCTCCTTCTTTCCTTCCCTCCTCTCTAGTTTTTCATCATTGTAAGTGGGAAAGTATGGCCTAGAGATTTAGATTTAGAATCTCCCTCATAATATAGAAAAATAAAATAACTTTAGACTAGAAATCAGGAGATCCAGTCTATATCTGTCACCAGCTCACTCAGTGTTTGACCCTTGGTGATTAATTTTACTTTCTAGATCTCTGTTTCTTTATCTTTTCACTGGAATAGGGCATTTTAAGGATTGGCATTTATGATAAAGTAGAATAATGGAAAGACCATCGGCTATGGGGCCAAATAGACCTGGGTTTGAATCTCAGATCTCCACGTATAGGAAATAACTTTCACAGTTTCCTCATTTATAAAATGGTAATAGTGATCTCTACTTTGCAGGGCTGTTGTGAGGAATAAATAAACTGGTAGCCATAATTGTAGTTTTTAAAGCACATTTTATAGCTACAAATTATACCTTCTTCTACCTCTGAGGTCCCTCCCAGCAAGGACATTTTTTGGCCACTGGGATCTTCCCAACCTCTTCACTGGCACCCCCTGCTTTCAGTGTTTAATTTAGGCCAGTATCGACGAGAGGCAGTGAGCTACAAGAACTATGAATTCTTTCTTCCAGACAACATGGAGGCCCTGCAAATCAGGAAGTAAGTACTCAATATTTTAGGAACCTGTGCTATCTCGTGGTGAAAGGCCCTTATTCAAATATTGGGGGAGTAGGGCAGAAAAATCTGGACCAGAAAGGGAGGCCCTCTAGACTCTCAAATAGTAGTTGGAACAGCCCTTCCATTATCCTGCCCAAAGCCTGTTTCTGGTCACAACCATCCACATATCAAGAACCTTTAATGGTCTTCTACTTCTGACAAGAGAGAGTAGAAACTTCTCAGCTTAGCATTTGAGAGAAGAATCTCAATAGCTTGGCCCACTCTAGTTTCTCCAGTCTTATCAGTTCAAACTCAAGGCCTCTCTACCCTACAAGACTCTGAATACTTACAGAACAGAGCCTAGGCCTCATGCCCTCATTATAGAACCCAGCAGTGAGTAATCATTAAGGACATTTTTGCTAAAAGCATAAATACATTGCCACTGTCATGTCTTTGTGTTACCTATGCCAGGAATGCCTTTTACTTCACAGACCACATGCTCTACCTGGGTTCATAAAACAGTTCAGCTTGAATTCCATTAGCTCAAGGATTGAAGCCCTTAATATGGCTTCTGTCATTGCTCAGCTTTTCCGGATTGTGCCACTTTATACCTGCCCCTAAGCTGTGTAAGCTGTGCACACAGAGCCACTTTCAACTCTTTGACCCCTCTGTGCTTAGTATGGTGCCTAAAGAATAGGGCACTCTGTGTAGATATTAGTTGAAGACATGAGTAATGGTACAGAAGATACTGCAGACAAAGAGAGAGATATCCATCCTGGGGGATAAGGGTTGTCTCTTTTTCTTTCCTGGTCTGTTTCAGGCAGTGCGCCCTGGCAGCCCTGAAGGATGTTCACAACTATCTCAGCCATGAGGAAGGTCATGTTGCGGTAAAGAAATTTTTACTTTTCCCTTGGGTATCTGCTAGGAAGGGGATTAGCTAATATGTCCTGAACATTTACTGTTGTTCTGAGTACTTTGTATATATTAATAATTTAATTTCATGCTCCCCCCTTGAGATAGGTATTGTCATTATGCCCCATTTCAGAGCCCAGAAGAATGGCTCACAGAGGCATTAAATAATTTCCCCAAATGGTACAACATATACCTGGCGGGGCCAGAAATGGAATCCATGTTGTGTAGCCTCAGAATCCCCACTGTTAACCACTGTGTACTACCAGTCCGCCCCCAATAAGTCAGCAGGACTACATTAAGAGTTTAAGACTGCAGTACAAACAGTTTTGAGTTCTAGAGATTTACCTAAATATCTACTCAATTTAAAATCATAGACCTTTGGGTTAGGATTTGCAAATTCTAAAAGGGGAGGAGATTCTCAAATATGCAAATGGTCCAATCTCAGGTGCTGAGGATAGGGAATTGCTTACTGTTGTTGTGGACTTCTAAAGTGATACGGAAGGAAGAAGCTTCAGCTAGGAATTGAGAGAAGCAGTTCTAGCTCTGCTCTGTCAGCACCTCACAGTAACTTTGGTCAAGGCAAGTTCTTCTAGTCCTCAGTTACCTCACCTATAAAATGACCCTAATAAAAACCCACAATTTCCTCTTGCCTTATTACACTCACAAGGTAGCATACATTTCTGGACAGACAGTAAGGGCCCAATGTGTGCTTGTGAAATTGTCATAAGCCAATTCTGACTCCTTCCTATCCTTCAAGACTTTGTTCAGGTTCTACCTCCATATGGAAGCCCTCCACTTAGCACAGGGATGGGCAAAGAGTAGATACTCTACTAGCACTAGATTCAGAGTAAGCCAGTCTCATTACCTGCCTCTAGGTTTTTGATGCCACCAACACTACCAGAGAACGAAGGTCACTGATCCTGCAGTTTGCAAAAGAACATGGTTACAAGGTATGGTAACACTCCAACTCTTATCTAGAGCCTGTTTCTCCAGCACAAACCCCTAAGAAAGGCAAAGTAGGAGACTCAGAGCAGCCAAATCAGCTACCATAAGCTCAGCATTTTAATTTGGTTTTCTAACTTTCCAGGATATAGCCAGAAGCAGCCAATAGAACGAGAAAAGAGGGATGCCACATTAGGCAATGGAAGATGACTGCTGACAGGCTGGCTATGGGGAAAGAGTGGAGAGGGTCACTACGAAAAGCTTATATAAGACCTAAACCCAGTAAAGATATAAAACAATCTGGGGCCATTCCATTTAGAGCCAATATGCCTCATGAAACTCAGAAGCCTCAAAACACCACTGTATGAGAGCATTATATTGTCAGAGATGCCCCTGGAGATGACTTAGAGCTACTGAAAAGGAGTAAAGCTATGTTCAGCTCCTACCAAACATAATTTCCTTCTGGAAATCTCTTTTCATTGAGTCCATTTGTAATGACCCTGGCGTAATTGCAGAAAACATCAGGGTAAGAAGCACCAGTTACCATTCCACTTTGCTCTGCCTTAGGCTTAGATCATGCCTAAGGCAGAGATGATATTATGCCTAAGGCACCTCTATGGGATTAAAAAAAAGATTCCTCCCTGATCTTCTCCTCCTAGTTTGCATAGGAAGCATTCCCTAAACATCCTGGCTTACAATGACTCTATTAATTTTAATGAAGCCAACATATATAGTGTCCTTTGTATGCTCCAGGTACCAAGCTTGAGTGTCATTAATTTTTTACAACAAACCTGCATGTTAGAGGTTATTTCCATGTTAGAGAGAGGAAACTGAGGTTAGAAAGGTCCAAAAGGAAAAATGAATTCTCAAAAATTCATACAGACAGAAAGGGACAGAAGTGGGACTGGACCTCAGGCTTGGCTGCCTGCCTCAAAAGCCTACATTTTGTATTCTGCCCCAAAATTCATACCAGAGCTATCCCTGCTCTTAGATTTTGGGTATGTGGTCTAGAACTAGGTCATTTACCACATTTTGTTGTTCCCTTCATCAAATTACTGGCTCAAGAACAGAAGAGACCTTAAAGGCAATTTTCTGCTACTCTCCATCAGATGCTTGAAATCTTACCTAAATGTGTATCTGGATTTTTTTATACCTGCAATGATATGGGGCCCATTGCTTTCAACAAATGCTGTCCAGTCAAGCTGGAATCTGCCTCCCTATAGTTTTTATTAATCAGTCATTTTTTAACCTTTTGGGACATACAGCAGGTCTAGTTTCTCTCTTCCCTCTTCATCCCTCCATCTATCTATCTATCTACTGATTCAACAGAAATTGAATATATACCTGGGCTTGGCACTAGAGACATAGATATGGAGAGTCCTTCCCTTGAGCATACAGTCTAGTGAGGAAGACTGACAAGTATATATACAGAACCCTGAACTGATGTGATATAAGGGAACAGAGGAAGCTTTGAGAAGACAGTGCTGAGGGCCAGACTTTGCATGGGGACAGAAATCAGGGAAGCCTTCCTAATGGAGGCAAAATTAAAATGAATGGCACCTTGAAGAACACATAGGAATTTGGTGGGTGAAGAATGGAAAATAAGGATATAAGCATATACTAAGTATGGCATCTCCAGAGAACTATAAGTAACTTAAATTGGCTAAAACCAAATGTGTGGAGGAATAGGGGAGCCATGGGAGATAAGGATGAAGAAATAATATGGGGCCCAATCATGACAAGCCATGGGCCACCCACTAAAATAATTCACACTTTTTTCTAAAAGGTATGATGAAATGTGGAAGAGTTTTAAGCAGGAGAATACTTTGGCCAGATGTTCATATTAGAAATATCCTTCTGGCTGCCAATATGGTGAATACATTAGAAGTGAAAAGAATATAGACAAAGTAATTGGGCGCAAAGCTATAGTGAGCACAAACAAGAGAGAATGGATATTTAGAGGAAATGATAGAGTAGTGAGGATTTGGTACCTACTAAGAGGTGAGGGATGACAGAAAGATATCTAGGATGACTCCCGGGTTCCATTTAGGATCAGATGACTGGGTGGATAATAGTGCCAGTACCTGAGATGAAGACTGTGGAAGGAGACGGTGGGTATTGGTGGATTAGGAGAGGCCAGTCTTCAGAAATCCGAAGACAGTATGTCATAATCTTCTGGTAAACACTTGATACATGTAAGCCATAATGACCCCTGGCCGAGAGCTCTAGTTCCTCTTCTTCAGCCATTTCTCACATCACAATTTCTGGTCCTCTTATAAATGTTCTTCTTTTATAAGCATTGTGTGCTCTGGCACTAAGTATAATGTAACAGGCCTTGTTTGACCACACAGAGATTAGGAATGAGGAGTCACAATCCAGCTTCTTTTCAGTTGGTTGATTTTTGTAAACTTGGGCAAGATGCGTTCTCCAGGTCTTAATTTCCTCATCTTTATAATGAGGGATCTTGTACTCAATGGTCTCTAAGGGACCTTCCAAAGAAAACCATCAGAGACTCTGTCTCCCAGTGTCTCCCTTGATACCTCTATTCTCCCTGCTCCCAGCAAGTGAAACTTGGCAGCCCTGATTATGTAGACTGTGACCGGGAAAAGGTTCTGGAAGACTTTCTAAAGAGAATTGAGTGCTATGAGGTCAACTACCAACCCTTGGATGAGGAACTGGACAGGTAAGAGCCAGCACCCCAAAGTCAAAGTCTAGATCTTTAGCCCAGTTTTGATACCCTTTAGGATCTGGGGGAAGTATCCTCCCTTTCTGGGCCTCAGCTTCTCTGTCTTTAACATCAGGAAACTGAACTTGATGATCCCTTTCTTCAAGGATCCTTTCAGCTCTGATTCCTTGATTTGTAAGGTGTTCCTAAGATGATGAAAATAGTGCTTTCCTGAGCAATATGAACAGTTCAGGACCCTGGGAACAAATGCCCCCCTTCTGTGGGTATTGTGATTATTATTACAAAAGTGTTCTTCACACTTGAGTGACACTTCAGTTTCCAAACATGTTTACATTCTTTCTTACATTTAATCCCCTAGAACTCCTGTAAAGGAGGCTGAGATAGGTCTTATGATCATAAAATGTCAAGAAAAAGAAATTGAGTCTGAGCTGAAATTACTTTCCCAAGCTTCTACCACAGGTCAGAAGTAGAGCTAGGATTCTAATTACATGTTCTGTCTCCTAGTCATGTCTCTTTTCACAATGTTCCCATGTCTCATCAGTCAACAAGTATTTGGACCCTTTGGGGTGTGGTATATGTAGGGGGCATAAATACGTGCAAAAGAGGTGAGTTCTATCCTCGGGTAGCTTCTATAGTGCTTTGACATATGAGAAGACCTATAAAAAAAACAGGAAATGCTCTGTCATAATACCAACTAAAGATAGGAGAGAGCCAATATGAGTTTTAGATATAGAATGTTCCCGGAACCCTACACTCTTTGAAACGGTGTTGTGATGAGAAGAGACCCCAAGTGAGAAGTATAAAGAGGCTTCAAATGGTCATCACCACTCTAAGAAATTTAAAGAGTGACCTTACCCAAATGAAGTACCAAGAGATGAACACTGTTATTGCCCCACTCTTTAGATGGAGAAACTGAGATCCAGATCAGGTCAAAGGCTTACCTTGGGCTACACAATGAATGAGTCAGTAGCACAATATATACTCGAACCCATATCCCAGTTGGGCAGATCGTTCATTGTACAGGCACTCTAGTCAAGGGTACACTCACTTCTCTCACCAAGACGTGTGCTGAAGTAGGGCTGTGTGACCCTGAGGAAAGTATGACTTTTTTAAATTATAAAAAAGGCACAACATGGGCTAACAGCATATGGTGAAAGGAGCCTGAAGGTGGGGGTGGGAGGTATAAGTGAAAGAAAGGCATTGACAAAGCCCCAGCCCTGGGCCTAGACTCCTACAGGTGCTAGGATGCTGTTCGATGAATCAGTTTGTGCCAGAAGAAGACAGATCTACAGGTTCAGCTTTATGTCATCATTTTTTCGTCAGGAGATATTCACAGTCCATGTCTCAGGGCCCAGCCCCGAACATGGAATCAAAAGAGGAAAGGGCTGTCCCTGCTTTGACAGAATGAGAGACAACTAACTTCTCCAGTTAGTTGGAGAAGACAGTGAGTACACGGTTGGTCACAACTCTGGTGACGGTAAACCAAGTGGACTGTGGGAACATGGAACCGAGTCTAGCTTGGAGGAAGAAGGTCTCGAAGAGCTGGATTACCCAATAGGCAGACTACACATAAACTACGAGAAAGATAGGGGCTACCAAATCTTAAAAACTTTTATTTATTTATTTATTGAAACAGAGTACTACTCTATCACCCAGGCTGGGATGCAGTCACGCAATCTCGGCTCACTGCAACCTCTACCTCCTGGGTTCAAGCAATTCTCCTGTCTCAGCCTCCTGAGTAGCTGGGACTACAAATGCCCGCCACCACACCTGACTAATTTTTGTATTTTTAGTAAAGACAGGGTGTCACCGTGTTGGCCAGGCGGGTCTCGAACTCCTGACCTCAAATGAACTGCCCGCCTTGACCTCCCAAAGTGCTGGGATTACAGGCATGAGCCACCGCACCCAACTGACTTAAAAGGTTTAAATATTGGATATTTCAAAAACAGCATCGAGGTAGCCAAAGTGGAAAAATATAAAACAAGAACTTGGGAGGACCTCCCCATATTCTATAGTTTATACTTTTCATTTTAAATAAAAATTTAAAAAATTATTTTAATTTTTAAAAATTTTTTTAAAATTTTTAAAAATTATTTTAAAATTTTTAAATAAAATTAAAAATTCGGAGGGGGATAGGCATTAGCTACTCTACTGTTTTGGTGTTGAACACCTCTAAATGACTTCACATGATCTTGGTTTCAGAAAAGTCTTCCTAAAGAGAGTGAATGTGCTGGCTCTTGAGGTATGACTGCATAGCAGCTCAACTTTGGAAATCAGGCAAAGAGAATAGCACTTTGTAAGTGCCTAGTTAAATCTGAACAAGAGTAGAGAAATACAGAAAATATTCCAAGTGTAATAGCAACGGTATGAAAACAAGAATGAAACAGAGAAGATATGGGTATGGGCATGGGACCATAATGTAAGGCCACCTGGGGCCAGTGTGAGAAGGCAAAACTAGAAGATCAGATTAAGCTGAAGAATTCGGCAGGTCTTAGAACCTCAAAGGACCCAGTAGTCAGGCAACAAGTTTGCATCAGATATTTTCTACCCCTAGGCTCTGGTCCTAGAAGAAATGATTAGAGAGGGGAGCATTCTGGGGTTCTTCTTCCCGAGAAGGTTTGTGCCTCAGTTTCTTCACCTATGAAACAGATGATAATCTCTGCTCTGTAGTACTATTAAGAAGATTGATGCACTTAAAAGTTCCCACTCCCTACCAGATGCTCAGAAAATGTTCAACAAATACAACTGCTCTGTGGAAGCCATTGGGCACAGTTGGGCATGGAGTGTGGTGCAGCCATAAAGGGCTTCTGTAGGAAGATCTCAGGAGAGACTTTCTAAAACCAAACCTATCAGCACCCTTACCTGCCTCGGGTTCATGCAGCTCTTTCCATTCACTTGGTTTTGTTACCATGCAACCAGGGTTGCTGGTGTCACCCCATTGCCCCAGCCTTCCACTCCTTTTCCCAGGGATCTCTCTGAACTCAGTACAAGCCAACAGCTAAAGGATTTAATGCTTGGTACAGCATAGACCTCAGAAGTCTTACTCCATGTTTCTAGTCTTCTGATTATTCAGTGTTTACACTCTACCCTCCAGCTTCTACACAGAATGGTGGTTGAAGAGTTTGATTATCACTCAGTGTACAGGTATGAGTTCATGACAGAGCAGGGAATTGAGGAGACAGTAAGGAACTTGGGCCAAGGACCACAAGTTCCCCAATGACGTTGTGGACCACCTCTGTATCCCCATGCCCCGCTACTTGGCACACCTTAGAGGGAGTGACTGTTTATGTAATGAATGTTGAGCACTGATCATGTGTTTCCAAGTATATGCTCCTGACTGGCCAAAGAGCTCCCAAAGCACAGACACTGGGTCTCCAGGCCAAGCACAGTGCCTAGGACAGAGGAGTATGTTTGCAGTTTGTTTGTTGACTGCATAGAAAAGAGGAAAATAACCCAGGCCAACCCCCTTTCTGAGTGAGGAGAGAGACATACACATTCACAGACACAGACACATATACACACAGACGCAATCTGGTAGTCATGTGTAGAGTATAAAGGACAATATGTAGCAGAGGCTAAAAACAAAAGGGGTGAAGAGCTCAACTCAAGATCAGAAAGGGTAGGGGAGTGAACAAGTCAGGAGCTGCCAGTAAGATATTGGAGCTAGCCAGGAATGCAAAAGATTACTGCTTCTCTCTATGTCAGGGGTGTGAACCACAGAACAGAGAATCCAGCTGCCTGTAATAGGATGAGTGAGGGTGAAAAGACAGTTTGGCTCAAACTGAGGCTGAAGAAAGGAGACATCGAGATGGTAGCATGCAATGAGCTCCTTGGCCAGTAACCAAGTCTCTAGAACAGGTACTTGGAACGGGGCAAGGCATGGCATCACAATAGGTGACAGCTGGGTTGTGGAAGAGGCTTGAAAGGGTATGTGGTTCGGGCTTTCTCTTGGGGTCAACTCTACCACCATTGGCCCCTGAGCTGCCCTTGCTCCTGCTTGGGTCTGGCCCAGCCACCTGTCATACATCAAGATCTTCGACGTGGGCACACGCTACATGGTGAACCGAGTGCAGGATCACATCCAGAGCCGCACCGTCTACTACCTCATGAACATCCACGTCACACCTCGTTCCATCTACCTATGCCGGCATGGTGAGAGTGAACTCAACCTCAGAGGCCGCATCGGAGGTGACTCTGGCCTCTCAGTTCGCGGCAAGCAGGTAGGGAGGGCCTCACACACCCAGATGGGTTGGTTGGGCTGTCCTAGGTGGGCTGGAGGTGTAGTGGTGGCCACATTCTGGGTCCTAAGGTGGGAGGACCCAGGAATGGGGTAGAAGCAGATTCCATCACTCCTGCTCTTCCACTCCTCAGCCACTCAGTCTTGACCCAGCTGCCGAATGGCTCCCAATGCCACCTGTTCTGCAGGTCTAAGAGGTTGGCCCTGGCAACCAAGCCCTTCCCAAAACCAGCCACTCCATGACAGGGACTCCCTTGGCCCTGTCTGACTGGTCCCCTCATCTTTCTCATGACTCTGTGCCTTTGCCGGTATAGCTCCGCCACCTAGTCTACCCTCTTCTGTCTCCTCTGTCAGCAGGTGACTGTCAGCACAGAGAGCTGCCCTGAGGGACCCACCCTTGAATCACTCTTCTCCCCAACTCTGCACTCCCCACCTCACCCCAACACAGGTGTCACACTGGCAGCCCCTGTCCCCACCTATAACTGTGTCCTTCTTGCCCTCCCCACTCCCAAGGCCCAGCACCGGCTCCATGGTGTGGTCCAGGAAGCCCTCCCCATCCTCTCCTCCCTCCCAGGCAGGTTGCCATGCCCTGGGCTCCCGCTCTCCCAGTTCTGGCCCATGTGTGGCTCTACTGGCCTGAGTCTCTTCTCCCCAGCCCAGGACAGTGACCTGCACGTTCTGGGTGCTGGCTGAATAAAGAGATCCATTTCCACAGCATCTGGCCCTGCACTTGTTAGCACAGGTATTATTCCTGCTGGCAGGACCACTTAGGGGTGGAACAAGTGGGAAATGAAGTTTAGGAAGGACAGTTGTTGTCACGGTTGTCATTTATTGGACACCTATGAACAGTCATGGTGCCATCTGCTTCCACCTGTGTGGCTCACTTCATCTTCACCACAGCTCCATGGGGTGGGCATTCCTGCCACCAGTTTATGGATGAGGAAGCAGAGAGCGGCCCCAGGGCAGGCGGCCAGGATGAGACAGAGCCAGAACTGAAAGCCGGGTCTACCTGCCTGTCCTCAGCTCCCCCACTGGAGAGGTGGAGGTCCCAAGGCAAGGTGCTGCCGCTGCCATGATGGCCGTGTCCTGGTGGCTCCTTTTCTGTTACCTCCAGACTGGCAGCCTCCCCTGGAGGTAGACTCTAACTTGTGACTCCCCCATGTCCCACTCCTCAGAGCAGAGTCAGAGGCCGCTGGAGGCGTGACTCTGGCCCATGGCAGGCCCTGCAGCAGGGGTGTCTTGGTTGGAGCCAGCCCGGCCCCTGCCCACCAACTCGGAGCCCAGAGGGACACGTGGCCGCCTCCACAGGACATGCCTCCCGGGACACAAACTTGTGTGAGCGCATGCACACAGCCGGCACCACCGTCACACTCATCACAGAGCACCAGGCCCAGTTTACAAAGCACGTCCCTGTCGAGGTAGCTCTCACTTGCACAGTGCCCACTGCGCACCAGGCACTCCCCAGCCACTTTCTAAAGTGCGGCTCCCAGAGAACAGGCTGGGTGAGCCAGTGCTCTATGGGTATGAGGCCAGTGATGGACAGGGACGTGTCTGAGGGCACAAGGGACCATGTAAGGGAGCTGGGGGAGTTTAACCTGCTGCTCCTACCTCCCAGTCAAGGGCTCCTTCCACCAGAGCACGCTGACTGCTGACTCGTGGCCGTAATGAAACGTATTATGAAATGCCTATTTCTGCATGTATAAATGTGTGCCTGGACCTATGCACCTGTGCACATGTTCCTAACACATGCCATCAGTGGGATTAGCAACACACGTTTACACAGAGGAGCGAATCGCTAGCTCCCTTCATGGTGCCCCTCGGTGCTGCCAGTGTTTCCCTCACTGGACTGGCCCTGTCTTGAGAGCGATAACACCCCAACACCCAGCACAGGGACAGGACCACTCAATACATGTGTGAATGCCCTTAGAACCTGGGTATCAGGAACCCTGCTTAAGCAATAAATGTTCACAGAGTCAAAGAGAAATGTCTCCCAAATCCCACACCTCCTACTTCCAGTCCATATTCTGGGTACCCCCAACCCTAGAATTCTTTGCCCTTATTGTCTAGAGTCTACTTTCAGTTCCTACATGGGCCTATCTCAGCGTCTGTCCACCTGAGGTCAGGTCATATCACCAGACCAAGGGAATGCTATTTGTGGAGGATGGGGACCAGTGAGGTGAAAATGTGGACAAAACTTGGTCATGTGACTTGGTTATCCACAAGCATGTACTAAAGGCACAAAGAAGTGCAGGATAGAGCCATAAATGGAGAGAGAGACTGTGCATGGAGTGCCTCCATTGGTCCTCTTGTCTCACGCTCCACAAATTTTAGAGGTGGGTCTGCTTGAATGAATGAATAACCAAGTAGGGGCTTTGGTGAGCAATCATCAATGAACACATACACACACACACACACACACACACACCCCCACACACACACACACACGATCTTTTCTATTCCCTTGGCCCACCATCACATGGGAAAGAGTATGGCTTTTTATAAATTTGGAACATTTAAACTCTTTGCTCTTGCTTGTTCATCACCACTCAATTTGTGGCAGAGCTAAGCTTGTTCTCATGGCCACCATGTTCTCTCTCACCTCTCCTTTTCCCCTTCTCTCCTCCTCTGCATCCCCACACCCTAGTATGCCTATGCCCTGGCCAACTTCATTCAGTCTCAGGGCATCAGCTCCCTGAAGGTGTGGACCAGTCACATGAAGAGGACCATCCAGACAGCTGAGGCCCTGGGTGTCCCCTATGAGCAGTGGAAGGCCCTGAATGAGATTGATGCGGTGAGATGCATGGGGTGAAGCTCCTGTGTGGGGGGAGTGGCTTGAGACTGGGATTATCCCCTGAGTTGCCTCTGCTCCAGCCTCTATGGGGGTCCTAATTAATTCAACAAACATTTTTGACAACTAGCCATGTGCCAGATCTTATTCTGTCTTGGGGATCCAGTGAAGGCCAGAATAGACAAAGTCTCTGACCTCATCCTAAAGACAGACAGTAAATAGGACATTACATCTCAGTGCAACAAAAGACTATGAGAGGAGAAGTACAAGGGATTATGGAGGATCAGAAGGTGAGGGTGCTCCTGACTTAACTTGGTGGTGGGGGATTTACAAGGAAAGCTTCCTGCAGGAAGCTAGAGGTGATATAAGAAGGAAGCAAGATGGTCTGGGGAGTGGGGAAATAAATTTAATTCGGGGACAGAAAACAGTTCATATGTGAAGACCCAGAGATGAGAAGAGAGCCTGGCAAGTTCAGGGAACTGAAGGAAAGAATAGCACAGAGGCTGGGACAGCAATAGTGAGATCTGGAGAAAAGGGAAATGAGGCTGGAAAGGAATTCAGGCCACCAGGCTTTATAGTTTATGTTGAAGGATTCAAATGCTGCCCTAACAACAATGGGAAGCCATTGATGGGGTCCACATCAAGGAGGAGTAGTCTGAATGTGATGCACATTTTTTAAAGAAAGCCCCCTCTGGGCATGTGTGGAAACTTGGTGGGACGAAGGCCAGTATGAACATGTAAACCAGTAAGAAGTTGACTGCATTAGTCTGGCAAGATGTGGGGGCATGCTGGACCAGAGTAGTGGCATTGGAGATGGAATGAAGAAGGACTTTGGAAATGTTTCAAAGGTGGAATCAGACCAGGTGCAGTGGCTCATGCCTGTAATCCCAGCACTTTGGGAGGCCTAGGTGGGAGGATCACTTGAGCCCAGGAGTTGGAGACTAACCTGAGCAACATAGTGAAATCCCATCTCTACAAGCAATTTAAAAATTAGCTGGGTGTGGTGGTCTATGCCTGTAACCCCAGCCACTCAGAAGGCTGAGATGGGAGGATCGTTTGAGCCTGGGACGCTGAGGCTTCAGTGAGCCGTGATCATGCCACTGCACTCCAGCTTGAGCGACAAGCAAGACCCTGTCTCCAAAAAACACATTAAGGTGGAAACAACAGGACTTGATGATGCACTGGCTGTAAGGGATGAGGAAGAGGGAGAAGTGAAGGACCCAACCCTGGTGGTATAGCAGTTTCTCTTCAGGGTTAGGTTCTTCCATGAGCTCGTTGAGAAAGGAGCTGTTTTCTCTCCATTGTTTACCTGCGCTGTAGGTACAGTGGCACCAGGTAGCAGTGCATAGGTTAAGATTGTTAGGCATCAACATAAAAGCTTTACCACAGGTGTAAATAACTTGGGTATGGGTAGGTTAACTTGTTTGCCTGCCAAATATGCCTCCGTAGAAACAGACATGTATGTGTGTGTGTACATTCATACATACGAGTATATAAATACAGAGGTACAGAGATACACATGGTTAGAAAAGGGCTATACAGCATTGTTCTGTATACCACATACATTTGCTATAAAATATATGTAAGCAAATGTGAAATTTCTTTATCATAAGTTTGGTGGCTGCTTATTTCTATCCCACGTGTGGCATAAACATTTACTGAACCCCTCCTTGTTTCAGGTTCTGGAGTGGTGCTGGAGGTAGAGATTGATCTGATTCATGCCTGTCTTCACTGAATGTTCAGGCTAAATAGGGTGGACAGAGGAATAAACAGAGAAAGAGAGAACAGCATGTGTGATACAGACTCTGATAGGCAAGACTGTGGGTGCATGGAAGTTGGAGCAGGACACCTAACTCAGCCATGATCTACCTGGAAGAAGTGATACCTAGCTGAAGCCCCAGGTTTGAGTAACAGTGAACCAAGTAGAAAGGATCAAGAATGACAATCCAGGCAGAGAGACAGGGATCGGAAACTTCATAAACAAAGAGGGTATTTTATGTGTGTGGAAATGCTAAGGTTGTAGTAGTACAAATGGAGAGGGAGGAAAAAAGAAATCAATTTGAGAGAGATTTAGGAGGTAAAATCTCAGGAATTGGCTACGAGGGGTGAATGAGGAAGAAGCAAGAATTTAGAATGATGATAAAGCAGAAATTTAAGTTTCTGGTTTATTTTCCATGATTGCTACTAATATTAATACTTGAGTCTATTGATTGAGTCTTTAAAATGTCCCTTGCACATTCTGTACTAATATCTTTTACTTACATTTTTCCAATATTCAAAACATGTCTATGAAGTAGTTCTAATTCTCCACATTTTGCAGATAAGGAAAGTAAAATTCAGAGACATTAAGCAATTTGATTCAATAAGGAGTCAATGACCATTTTCACAGGCAACAGTCTTCCAAGTACTCCTCAGAATAGAAAGTTGAAGCCAATCTGGAAGGACATTGAGTACCCAGTAGGGTACTCTTTCTTCCATGGGCAGTGTGGGTTGGAGAAGTTTCACACTGCAGAGATGTTTGTGGGTTGAGGTAGGGGTTCACTTCCTCACCCCTGAGGGGGGCATGGTAGATGGGCCCAATAGACAACAACCAGAGACCACTGGCCCCCTACAGTGAGATTTAATTGGAATCCACATACCCAGAAGGAAACCTTAGAAACCCAACATCATTTTCCATCACCATCAGCAGTCACCTCACCTCTGGGAGTTTCTCTGTAGACTTGGAATCTCTCATAAGCTCCTGAGGAACTCATTCTCTGAGCACTCAATTCGTTTTTTGAGTAAAAAGAGTGTATCTCCCCCAAATCCACTCTGAAACCATGAAGAATTTACTAATTTTTCCTCTCTGAGATGTCTGTTGTTACCTATTTCTTTATCTGCCAGAGTTCCCAAAGTAGAGGTCTTCAGACACAGGCACACAGATACTCTC